TGCCATTAAAATTTTAAGAAATATTGTAATTAAATTGTGTTACGGTTGAAATCATTTAATGAAATGGCATATTTTCGTATTTTTTTTAGTCGATATAAAAAGGAAAATGCAGTGCACAATTTAACCAGGAAATGGATGAAATTAGAAAAAATAACCTCTGCGCAATGATGTAATCGATTCCATGGCGTTATTTCCCGTTGCTAAGCTGGGAGATCCGTTGCTATAGTCAAATGCTCGTTACTCGGGAAAAATAAGAATTTCTTTGTGAGAATTACTATAGGACGTGTTGGAAGCCCGACGAAGGAAACATAAATAATTATTTTGCTTCAGTTGATACATGTACAGTTTTCTAGTTTGTGACTAGTAGTTGCAGTTTAATGTCAGCTCCTAATTTCCTCCGCGCGACAAGTGTTTTGCGCGCAAATTTCCTGTGAGTGATTTTAACTAAAATATTTCCGCTCAGCGGAGCCTGGGTATCTGTAACGTTAAGAAACTTCCTCTACTAACCTGCTTGTGAAGCCATGGTGTTTCAGTAACCACTTGAATGCTTTCCTTTAAAAGTTATTTATGTAGCTCGATTTGCACGTGTACGATTCCCGCGAAGCTGTCAGTGAATGAAATTTCCTTTATGACGCAACTAACACGTCAAATTAATTGAATTATTGCGCGCGCTTCTTGTTAAGATTACCGCTGACTTTCATGCGATGATTTTTGTCCGAATAAGAAATTAACCAAGCCAATCAATCTTTCAAATTTTATCTAACGGCTTGAAATTTAAATGGCGCAAACTGTTAACATATATATATAATTTTTGATTTTTCGATTGCTTGAGGAGTCTCTCGGTGCGTAGAGCCCCTTAGTTTAATGCAACGCGGGTAAAGAATATTATGGAAAGCCAAAATAAATGCGAAAATGTACTTTCGCGGCGCCGATTTTGCCCGATTAACTTTGTTTCGCCCAACTAACGGTCCCTGGGTCTCCGAGGATGCATGTACTTGCACGTCATTTTAGTAAATCAGTGCAGCGAACAACAAGTGCCAGCCAAGAGTGAAATCCCGTCTTCGAGACGAAACTGAGACACGACTGAGCCCGCGAATTTTCTTACTATTACAATGCTTTCCATATAACTAAAAATAATGCTAAAATATGTGTAATTACATTTTAAGGAACGGACTCTTCACGCCATTATCATGATTATTGTCCGTCGTGGAAATTCGACCGGAAGGAAGGAGGGACACGGATGTCAATCATAAATTGCATCATTTTCCCAAGCCACATCATCCAAGTGAAACTTCTCATAAGTCGCGTCCCGATGCTTGCTGGGTGATTAACAATATCCAAATAAATAAAACACAATTTAACTTTAATAATATCTTCATTTCTTTTGTGTCCGGTTCCGGTTTCGGTTTCGGATTCTAGATTCCGGATTCCGGATCCCGGATTCCGGATTCCGGATTCCGGATTCCGGATTCCGGATTCCGGATTCCGGATTCCTGCTTTTCCACACGCCCGTTCAAAAGCATTCTCGTCCCACAGACACTTCGGCTTAGTCATCGGGTCCCAGGAGTCGCGAAAGGGCTGTGAGGACGAGAATGGGTTCAGAGGAAAACCCCGACTCGTCTCCAGCCGTCTCTTATGAGAAATTCTAACACTGAAGTTTCTCATAAGAGACGAAAACCTGCAAAAATGCCACGTCAGTACGCATTGCGTACCTATTTTCCTGATCTCGGGACACTATATGTGGTCTTACATGGAATGATGTCCCTGCTGGCTCACATGTGGTGTTTCAACATGGCGCCTAAACTGGATCAGTTGTGAGCGAAGCCTTTGAAGCATAAAGTTTTCCTCTGTGAAGGTAAGAAATACGTTTATTCAAATACTTCTTGTTGGAGCAACTACACATTGCAGGGCTACTTTTCAAGGAGTATGTATTCATGTATGCAGTGTTTTTGCTGGCTCGTTTGTAGCCTGTGTACATCCGCCTCCTCCCCTAACAAAATCGGGAAGAGAGACGTCTGTGTCACGGCGTCGTTAATCGTGTTCCGGAATAACTTATCATAAATTAATGACCACTGTGTTTCTGGCGGGTCACACGGAAAGAACAAAATAAATTTCGGAGTGTGAGATCATTTTATTACAGGGCTTCTGACTTGGGTGCGGGAAAAAAATAAAAATTGTGCGGCATTTTTGGGGCAAATTGTGCGGGAATAAACGTCGATTGTGCGGAGAATTGTGCGGGATTGACCACAGAGGGCATACAAGTTGAGAGGATTAATAAAGAATAATGAATAAATGAATAATTACCTGGTTAATTCTTGTGTTTTCTTTTGTATTCTCTTGCGCAAACTTATAGGAATGACCGCTACCCACATTTTCTGCGCCAGCATTAAACTCGCACCCAGACCTTCTCGCTTTCCGGCAAAAAAATTTTCCTATATACATATATTCTTAACAAGGGAGGCAGCTCCGAGCGCAAAACATTTGAACCAAAATCCGAAAATCGCTTGAATCACAACTTTCCTTTGCTTTCATACAACCAGACAAACCAAATGTGAAGTCGATAGATTGAAGTACAACTTGCCCGATTTTTTTTTCCATTACGTTCGCCACAGTCGGAGAATGTGAACGTCTTTTCCAAAGTTTTTCTTGAATTTTTTTTTTGCTACATGATCGTACCGTAAGGCCTGTCCCAGTACGCGCCATCACTCGCCATCCAGCGCGCGCGCGCTTCCCTTCCCTCTCCCACACGTGTTTTTTGACGCGACAAATCTTTACAAACCCCTCCCCTGCTCGCAGCAAAATCAATTCACTGCGCTTGGTGATTACGCTAAAATGTAGTTTGTTTTCGATCGATCGGAAGGAAATCCGACACGCGCAAACTGCTGCGAGCAGGGGGAGGGGTTTTGTAAAGATTTGTCGCGTCAAAAAACACGTGTGGGAGAGGGAAGGGAAGCGCGCGCGCGCTGGATGGCGAGTGATGGCGCGTACTGGGACAGGCCTTACGGTACGATCATGTAGCAAAAAAAAAATTCAAGAAAAACTTTGGAAAAGACGTTCACATTCTCCGACTGTGGCGAACGTAATGGAAAAAAAAATTGGGCAAGTTGTACTTCAATCTATCGACTTCACATTTGGTTTGTCTGGTTGTATGAAAGCAAAGGAAAGTTGTGATTCAAGCGATTTTTGGATTTTGGTTCAAATTTTTTGCGCTCGGAGCTGCCTCCCTTGTTAAGAATATATGTATATAGGAGAAAAAAAATTTTCCGGAAAGCGAGAAGGTCTGGGTGCGAGTTTAATGCTGGCGCAGAAAATGTGGGTAGCGGTCATTCCTATAAGTTTTGCGCAAGAGAATACAAAAGAAAACACAAGAATTAACCAGGTAATTATTCATTTATTCATTATTCTTTATTAATCCTCTCAACTTGTATGCCCCCTGTGGACCAACCAAATATTTGGTAATTGTGAACAAGAGCTCGCTGAGCAATACATTACTATATGCATCAAACCTTTTCTTCAATCGTATCACCAAATCTGTAATGTTTACGAACGCAAATGAGCAACATTAAAAACACTCATGTGGCACAATTTAACAACAACTCTGATTCGTTATTTGCAAAACAATTGCCGCAATCCACCAATGAAAAATAGGAATAGAAGTTGAACTGAGACTAGTGCCCAGGCCGGCACAGAGCGTCTGGTTGTTTTTATATCCGCTCAAGCTGTTTTTCGATGAAAGCAAGGGATTTCTCCATTGTTTTGGAAGGTAAATGGCCTGAAAATAGCCTAAACAGTTTCTAGAAATCTTGGAAATCAATAGGAAGACTGTACCTGTATTCATTAAAATTTTAAGCAAATCTTTCAATATTGTGCGGGATTTTGCGGATTTTTAGGAATTGTTCGGGTTTGACCGAATTGTGCGGTCCTGCGCCCGCGCACCCTGTCAAAAGCCCTGCTATGAAGACGATTTCTTGTTGCTTTTTCATGGATGCCTGTTTTTGACGTGCTTACATGTCAACCTTGGCTTTGAAACTATGCTACACTATGAGAGAGATATTATTCTCTCAGTGACACAAGCTACTCGGAAAAAAAAATCCGAGTTCCCCCAACAGGAGACGAACCTATTACCTTCCGCACACTGGTCGGACGTTCTACCACTGAGCTACAGGAGAATAATATCTCTCTCATATTTCTACCAAGCTTAAAATATACCATCATTTCTTTCCACATATGCTACGCTATTTAATTCACAGTTCCGAAATGCAAAATATTGACAGTAAAATCAGTAATCAACATCCACTCAGTCAACAGCTAAAATTATAATAATTTTCTGTCGATCGGCCGGTTATTAAACGGTAAGCTGATGTTTCAAGTGTAAATGTTGTGGTTTAAATTTATTTTGGCTTAAAAATTTTTAAACCAGTTTGATTTTTAATTTCCTTTGTCTCAGACTATAGTAATGAATATTGGACAAAAAAATCAAAATCAAACTGGTTTGAACAATTTTAAACCAAAAACACATTGAACCACAACATAAACACCTTAACTATGGCCAGCATTTCTATTTACCATACCGTAGTTTGCAACTTTTTGCATTTTTTTATCCCCCTCACCTAGCCTGTTTCTGTTATCTTTTATTTACTTTTGTAAACGGTAATTAAGACAGTTCAACAAACATACTCTTGAATGAAAATGAAAACAACGGCACGGAATGCCCATCGAACAATTTCAATTAGGCTCAGCGGTATGTAATAACATTCATGTAATGTAACATGAGTGAAAAGTAGTCTCCCCCCAAAAATTGAAATGTCTCCCAGAATATTTTTGATAGGAACATAATGTCCCCATAAATTTAATCCTAGATCAGACACTGAACATGTTTATTGGGTTATTCCATTTTCTTTTTGATGTAGTTGTTTCAGAGAAATATTAAGAAAAAAGACTCCCACGGACATAAGTCACTGTATTCAGTTTGTCTCACGCGTGGGACAAAGAAAAAATATCAGTCCCGATGGGATTTGAACTTCCGTACACCAGTCGGATGCTCTAACCACTGAGCTACGGAGTATCTCATGTGGTGAGCGGTCATATACTTGGTCCGGGGGGGGGGGGGGGGGGGTACTCCCAAAAAAAATTGGGTGGGGGTGTACTGCTGGACTATAAGAACCCTTAAAAAAAGGTGTCATGTGTAGTAGTAATAAGTGTAAAGATGGTAAATGTTAAGCTCAGTTGTACTGTAGTAAGTAACTGTATTCAGTTTGTCTCGCGCGTGGGACAAAGAAAAAAATATCAGTCCCCGCTGGGATTTGAACCCATGACCTCCCGTACACCAGTCGGATGCTCTAACCACTGAGCTACGGAGTATCTCATGTGGTGAGCGGTCATATACTTGGTCCTGGGGGGGGGGGTACTCCCAAAAAAATTGGGTGGGGGTGTACTGCTGGGCTATAAGAACCCTTAAAAAAAGGTGTAATGTGTAGTAGTAATAAGTGTAAAGTTGGTAAATGTTAAGCTCAGTTGTACTGTAGTAAGTAACTGTATTCAGTTTGTCACGAGTGTGGGACAAAGAAAAAACCTTGTACATGACCACTCACCACATTAGATATTCCGTAGCTCAGTGGTTAGAGCATCCAACCGGTGTATGGAAGGTTATGGGTTCAAATCCTGTTGGGGCCTTAGATTTTTTTCTTTGTCCCACGCTCATGGAAAGTTTAAAAGTTAAATCACTCAGTAAGAATCAGTCGTTTGCTGGGTTGTGACTAATAATAATTATTGTTGCCCCTCGGTTCAGAATAATTTTTATCCGATTCAAAGCGTTGGGCCGTTCCACGTATCGAGAGTCCCACAGGTCGGAAAAAACAACTGCGACTTCGGCGAAAACTATAATCAACTAATTTATTGAGATCAACCACTATATTTACATGTATACGTGCATGCATTGATGTAAATTACTATACATAAGAACATTCCTTGAAAGGGAGTTTACATAGCTCAACTTTGAGTCATGCTGAAAAATCCTGAATCATTCTGAATCATCGACAAAATAGTATATCAATCCTACGCTCGAGTGTGTCTGAAATGTGCGAGGTAAATATAGCAATAGATTGAAAGTGTTGAATTGAAATATTTAGTGGCTGATATTTCTGTTAGATACATATATTATGACAGCGTTTTCAAGACTTTTGTTGTTACAAGGAAGTCGACCCACCATGCACCCGATAGGGGACTATTTTTTGTTGGCTGGGACGAATTTCAGCTGGGATTACACATTACCAGAACAAACAATTTGGGGTAAAATTTCTACTCTTCGGCAGAGCATTGCCAATCAAATGCACATGGAAAATGGCCAATCTTCCAACTCCCTGAGGAGTGAGCTAGTTGAAAATTCAGAATTACGCAAACCACAGACATTAACGTGTCTCGCGTGACAGCTCAGTGACGCACAGCCATCTTGTTTAACAGAAAACAAAACCAGTGGAATTTAAAGTCCAAGTATAAGCTTTTTTAGCTTCTTGTTTTTCACTTTCAGGGCGGCTAATTATTGGAAGGATTTTTGCATTTTGAGATTTGATGGGCTTATTTAGGGGGGAGGGGGATGGGCTCACAGTGTTGTTATTTTTATTCTCACTTTTAGTTTGTATCTGTTAGAGTTCTTTATTTCTATTTCTTTCATTCCGGTGCTCATATATGTTTGATTTATTCTCAATTTCTCTCTTTATTTTCCTTGATCATTTATAGTCTATATTCACCATTTTTTCTTTTAAATTATTGTTTCAGTGATATTCTCATTGTTATTATATTAACAATGTTTAAAACCTGTTATTTCAGGAGTGCTTCCCATGTATGCTATGGCAAAACATAAAAAATCTAACTCTGGACAGACGTACTTTAAATGCAAAACATGTGACAAGTGCTATAGCCAAGCAGGACATTTGAGCAGACATACAAGAACCCACACCAGAGAAAAGCCTTATCAATGCAAAATCTGTGGCAAGTGTTTTAGCATAGCAGGAAATTTGCGAGTTCATGAAAGATCCCACACTGGAGAAAAGCCTTATCAATGCAAAACCTGTGACAAGTGTTTTAGCCAAGCAGGAAGTTTGCGTAGACATCAAAAAGTGCACACTGGAGAGAAGCCTTATCAATGCAAAAAACTGTGACAAGTGTTTTAACCAAGCAGGACATCTGCTTGTACATGAAATATTGCACACTGGAGAAAAGCCTTATCAATGCAAAATCTGTAACAAGTGTTTTACCCATGCAGTAAGTTTGCGGATACATGAAATAACACATACTGGAAAATGGCCTTATCAATGCAAAAACTGTGACAAGTGTTTTAGCGTAGCAGGACGTTTGCAGGTTCATGAAAGATCCCACACTGGAGACAAGCCTTATCAATGCAAAATCTGTGACAAGTGTTTTAGCGAAGCAGGAACTTTGCGGAGACATCAAAAGTTGCACACTGGAGAAAAGCCTTATCAATGCAAAACCTGTGACAGGTGTTTTAGCCGAGCGTGTAATTTGCAGAGACATGAAAGAACCCACAGTGGAGAAAAGGCTTATCAATACAAAACCTGCTGGATTTGCCTGGAGGAACTTAGCAGTAAGGCCCTGCTTATTGAACACTATGACGATCACATGAAATAGGAACTGTTTCAAGTGAATAAACAATTAGGATATGTGTTCATCCGTTATTTTTGGTTATGTTAGACGTTGGTTAATAAGTTAGTTTTTGATAAGCAAACTGGGACTGGTCAAGTATAAAAGACGGTCCTTGCTTATAGTTGTTGTGTTAAAAAAAACTGGTTTTAACTAACGACATGAGCATAAACACAAGCAACATACGCAGACATACATTTAGTAACGTGTTGATAGTTGGTGCCTTTTGTTAGAACAAATCTGCTAATGATCACCACGTTACTGTGTCTGCTTATGTTGCCGCTTGTGTTTATGTCGCTAGTGAAAGCCAGCCTTAATAAAGATAACCCTATTTCCCATGATTACAAAGGAAAACATATATTTTTAAATTGTTTCATTAGTGTATCCTGGTATCTCAATGAAACCAGTTGTATAGGAGTGTAGAGATTAGGCAAGTATAACAGACGATCCTTGCTTAGTTGTTGCGTTTTTAAAATAGAGATAACCCTATTCCCCATGATTACACAGGTAAACATAATTTTTTTTAAACGTTCAATTAGTGTATCCTATATCTAGTATCTAAACGAAACCAGTTGTATAGGAGTGTAGAGGAGAATAAACAAGTTTTGTTGTGTTGAAATTGATAATGCTACACGAGCTACACGTGTAAGCAGAAACATCGGTTACACGTATCATTGGACACTTTCTGCTTGTTTGGTAATTAGTTTTGGCCAAAAACGAACATTAGATTTGTCGCCAAGAGAACAGAACGGAATAAGCTGTATAAACATCGTGAACTTCTATCAAGCAACGGTGAACTACCACCAGCCATAAATAGTACTCATATAGCCGAAGTAACAAGAATCAAAAGGCTCTTTGTTGAATGACGTAAAACGGACCTTACACGGGAAAACGAATACTTAACAGTTATTCTTCGAGGACGCGCCGGATATGAGCTGATATATATAACCAACGAGGCGCTTCGCCGAGTTGGTTATAATCAGCTCATATCTGGCAAGTCCGAGAAGAATAACTGTTTTAGTAAATTTTCAAACACTCAAATAACCGGAAGATGCCAAAAAAAAATTTCCGCTCCAAGAAAAATACATGCCTACAAATGTACAACAAATGTAACTGAACGAGCACTGCATGCAAGGAAGCCTGGAACAACTTTGTTTACGGGAAGTCCCGAACTGAAACCAATACAAATCTGCACACATTTAAACTGAATGAAAACCTGTTTACACTACAATTTTAAGCTTAACCTATTCAGTATCGTTACCTTGTGTTTAGAAGAGGCTTGTCAATTCCAGCTGGAGTAAGCTTTCAAATCAACACAATAAATATCGGGAACGAGAAAGCATAAATTTCGCAGTCGATCGATCGTCAAGCGTTGGTGATGGTACAATCGAGGAGGACCCGACTTCACAGTGAAATTATCTTCGAAGATCACTCTTTTTCTCTCCATCCATGTAGATATTGACGCTTTCCTTTGCGTTTTACTTAACAGTGAACGTGATTTTAACTGGCTCAGTTTCGCTGGTTTCAACACAATTAATTCCGTAGTCGTGCACGATTTGCTCGCCGTAAACAACCCGTTCAGCTGTTCATTCAACTTGTAAAATGAATATAATGTTCAGCTCCACAATTATTTCTGATCTTTCCATTTTAAGCTAAACCATTTGCACAATTTTCCAGAATATACCAAACTTTAGAAGACACAGAGCGAAGATTAAAATTCTGCGTGCTAACTAAACTGACAGACCGCGCCAGCAGTTTTTGCCGCCGTTTTCATACAAACCATGCTTCATTTAGATTGAACTGAAAAATCACTCAGTCGATTTAGAAATTTTTAAAAAGTAATACTGAAGTTTAACATAAAGCTAGTGATGTTTTTAATCAAACAATTATTCCATTCGCCCTTGTTGGATATACAAGTACAAGAAATTCATCATTTTTCCATATTTGGTCAACTTAAGGATAATGGCTCAGATCCATAGAGGAGGGTACCAATCAGAAAGCTAGAAAATCATTATCCAGAGGTACAAATTTACTAATTACTGTTATCCGTTAAACGAGTAAAAACGGACGGACAGTAAAACGACTACTTTAAGGTTTCATAGAACTTTCAACCTTACGTTATAAACAGATGCAACCATCCGATAAAGGTTTGCAAGCATCACAACGAATCCAAGCACATTTCAAATGCGAGAAACTCCCAATGTCTTACATTTCAAATAAGAAAAAAAAAACAAGCTATAAAAATGTAAGCGTACTGTGTGGAAGCTATACGATCACAGGGAGCAGAGGAGTCAAATTTGACCTTTGCGCGTTATTCGATGTATATGTCTGTTTTTCTAACGCCAGCGGGATATAACGTCAGTCTCGTGTTATAAGATCTCGGCACTTGGAGCCTCGCTCCGAGAGCTCACGCTATGCTTGCTTTGCCCTTTGGACAACGACCGGAAAGCAACCGAATCCCCGCTAGGGGCGAAAAACATGAGAAACCGCAGAAAGGTCAAATTTGACTTGCTCGCTGTGTCCTTTTGAAATAGCCTGTGACCGTTTGAAATTTATACGGCTAAGTAAGATTCTAGTGTGTCTACTTTTGTATATCGACTAGCTCACAATTCAATTAGGAGAACGCGCGAACTTGGGGCGCGCGCGTTCCCAAATTGTGCTACAACTAAATTCGAAATACACAAATTAGCATACTCTACTGCTTTACAAGGACTTAGCCAGCTTTTATGTATGCAGCGCGATGTCAAATGGTGAACAAATTGAGCCTTTTAGACCCGTGATGAAATTTGAATTATTTGGGTAATGCAAATGATCGATCTGAAGATCCTTACACAATGTGAACATGTGAACACTCTATCCCAGAGGTCCTTGTTGGACTCTGGAAACGAGATTGCGTACGACATAGCGGTGCCGGGCAAGTGAATGTGCGCAGTAGCACTCAAATAGTTGCTAAGGGGATTGTCCCACGGGAACCTATTAACAATAATAAAGCATTTCAGGCAATAAATTCACAAACATTA